CATCATCCATCATCCATCATCCATCATCCATCATCCATCATCCATCATCCATCATCATGGTGGTGTTTGTATTTATATTTTGATCTTGACATTTTAATCGTCCACCTAAAGCCTCAGATGATGTTTTCAAATAAATTTAAAGAATATTTGCGTATTGCTGATAGTAAATATGCTTGGTTCCTCTGACACATCTAGGGTTATTCTTATAATAGACAGGTATCATTTGTCTCAACTCACTAAAGAGCCCACTAGGGTCGTAACGTAAAATATCAAGACGTTAATAGACCATCTCATTGTTGATAGCCGATTGTAATTTATGCTTACGTAATTAACGCTATCGCCCCCAACATGCATTGCGCTACGAAGTTGCCTCGTGCTTGTAGTTTTACAAGATGGCGGAATAAACACGAAGTTGTTATTTTTACTCCATTTCTTTTCGTCTTCAAATGCTACTAGACCTACCCAAATCAGCACTCATTAGTCAGGAAATGTCATGCTACCTGGAGTTTATCCAACCTCTATAAGTGATCATAACTTAGTTTATGCAGTTAGGAAAATTGGTGCTCACAGAGGTAATCTAAGGTTGATGAAACCGCTTTTATTCTTGATTTAAAGCTAAATGCCAAATGGCCTGCTATAGACTTGGAGACTAATGTAGATGATTTCTGGGCATCATGGAAAACTACTTTTCTTGGTGTCATAGACAAGCATGTTCCATCGAGCACAATTAGAGTACGCAATAAACCTTCACCGTGGATAACATCTGAGATCAATTAGCTGAGGCATCAAAGACATAAATTAAAGGATATTAGCAATGAAACCAAATCAACCAGAAGATTGGTTAAGCTATAAGAAACTCAGAAATACGGTAAACATAAAGGTTGTAAGGACCAAAAAACAACATTACCGAAACAAAATTAAAGAGAAGAAAGATGATTGTACGAAGGAACTAGTTGGAAAGTCTTTAACGACTTGATGAAACGTAAGTCAAATAACGTTCAAATTAATAACATCACTAAAATTCTCCAAATTGGGCTTAAATTGAAGCTAAACTCCCCCTGTGCTAAACGTAAAATAACTTCTCACCCCTCCCCTTTTTGAAATGAAATAACTATCAATTCCTATTCCAATTCCAATGCAAATTACTTTAATTCATATTTTACTGAAATTGGTCCAACACTTGCATCTGATATTCCAGCAATACCCAACTCTACGAATTTTGCAAACTACTTAAAAAAATGCAATTGGAATGCTTTCTTTTCAAAAAATTTATTCATCAAAAGCATTAAACTTACTCAAAACCGTAGATTAACCTGGATATGATAAAATAAGGTACTTCAAGTAGCTGCTTCGTATATATATCAGTCTTTGTCTGATCTTTTTAACCTTTCAATCGAAACAAGTACTTTCCCGAATGAACTTAAAATGGCTAAAGTATGTCCTATATATAAGTCAGGACACCAAAACGATGCTAATAATTACTGGCCAATTTCGATAATAGGGTGGTTTTCAAAAAACCGTGAAATACACTTTAGCGTATTACACTTTAAGGTGGCTGGACCCCCTCACGCTTGACCGCTACCTTCCACTTTTGGAACGCTGGTGCATAAACGTGTTTTATCCGATTGCAAATCTTTTTTGCACATAAGTCACATAAAGATTGAATTAATGTTTGATGCAATTTTTAATGAGATCGGACTTCATAACACGTGATTATGATGAAATATTTGTTTTCGTTCAGAAAATAATTTTAGCCTTGCAGAGCGTTCAACACTAAAATGCTTCGTACAACATAATTATATACTAGATGCCTCCATTTGTAGGGATTTTTGAAAAAAATCTATCAAGCTAATTATGAGATATTTGAGATTCTTTAAATATAGTGCATAATCTACTTCAAAACAAAACAATGGATTTCATACAGCCGAAATTAATATTTCAGAGCTAAATATTCACAAAAGTCATTGCTCATTTAGTTTTACTCTGTATCTAGTTTAAAAAGGAACATTTTGAAGGTAATCAACTTATGCGATTTTGTGAAAACGTATAGTGCAGAAGACGGGGTAAMYATTTGATGCGCACTTTTCATCGCAGTGTTTTAGTCAATCTTACTAGATCTTCCATTATTCTAAAATTCGCTGATCATTTCTCTCAAAAYTACGTCAGGATACAAATTWGAACTTAAACTAATATTACACAAAATTGCAAGACTATTGAACTCATTTAAAGCGATCTAAAGCGAACGAGAAATACAGAAAATATTTTCCCTTTCCCAACGATTTGATGCTCTGGGAATTCTATTGTTTGCTAATGATCATAACATCAAATTCTTTCGCACCATGCACGGTCTCATCTCGCTTGGCTGCTTTCCGATTTACTCCCGAAGTTTGGTAATAAACAGTTTTTTTTATTCAAGCGTGGGACGTTTGTCATGATGTACTTTGCCGTCAGTGTGAGTGAATAGAATCGGCGAACATGCCTCAAATAAAAACTTCAAGAAAGAAGCAAGCAAGACTTTTGAGTTTAAATAAATAACCATATTTCGGGAGTAAATCGGAAAGCGACCAAGCGAGATGAGACCGTGCATGGTGCGAAAGAATTTGGTGTTATGGTCATTAGCAAACAATAGAATTCCTTGAGCATCAAATCGTTGGGAAAGGGAAAATATTTTCTGTATTTCTCGTTCGCTTTAGATCGCTTTAAATGAGTTCAATAGTCTTGCAATTTTGTGTAATATTAGTTTAAGTTCTAATTTGTATCCTGACGTAGTTTTGAGAGAAATGATCAGCGAACTTTAGAATAATGGAAGATCTAGTAAGATTGACTAGAAAACTGCGATGAAAAGTGCGCATCAAATGTTTAACCCGTCTTCTGCACTATACGTTTTCACAAAATCGCTTAAGTCGATTACCTTCAAAATGTTCCTTTTAAAACTAGATACAGAGTAAAACTAAATGAGCAATAACTTTTGTGAATATATAGCTCTGAAATATTAATTTCGGCTGTATGAAATCCTTTTTTAAGTTTTGAAGTAGATTATGCACTATATTTAAATAATCTCAAATATCTCATAATTAGCTTGATAGATTTTTTCAAAAATCCCTACAAATGGAGGCATCTAGTATATAATTATGTTGTACGAAGCATTTTAGTGTTGAACGCTCTGCAAGGCTAAAATTATTTTCTGAACGAAAACAAATATTTCATCATAATCACGTGTTACGACGTCCGATCTCATTAAAAATTGCATCAAACATTAATTCAATCTTTATGTGACTCAATGTGCAAAAAAGATTTGCAATCGGATAAAACACGTTTATGCACCAGCGTTCCAAAAGTGGAAGGTAGCGGTCAAGCGTGAGGGGGTCCAGCCACCTTAATACACTTTATTGTCCGCATTTTCTTTTGATTTTCTTTCCTGTTTCGGTGTATATAGTTCTTATTAACCATGTGCGAGGTCCGTAAGTAATGAACCGAGTTTTTTCCACTGCCTTATCAAAAGTTGGGAAAAACGAGGATCCATAACTTACGGCACGGACCGAGCAAACGAGGTTAGTAAGATATTTATTATATGGCAAGGCATTGAGATCAAAAAGAGGCGAAGCAACAAAAAGTAAAGTTGACAGCGCATGTCAAACGAGAACTGCATAGGAAGGGCTTGCTTTACGTGCCACAAGTCATGTAGTGTTTGAGTCGCTCAGAAAGAGAAGTTTTAGTTTATCTTCAATGAATTTAGCAATAGTTTAAAGTTTTCTGAAATACTATTTAATAAAAGTGAGGCTTTTTTTCTGCAAAATATGTAAATGCAAAGCAAAAAAGGAATCAAAAGAAGACCTCGAGAACTCAACATGAGATTGAGAAGAAAACTGTCGTACTTCAAACTTCCTTTCGACTTCAAGATGTTCACAACCAAGATGAAAAATAAAATATAAATTTAGACACTACCTAAAAGCGGAGCTCCCAATAGCACAGGGAGCCCAATTTAGATAAAACTGAAAGATGAAAATAAAATCGGGCAAAAAATCTTCAATTTTTTTCTCTCCATCGAGATGAAGATAATGTCCCTCATAACGAAAATTATGAAGCGAAAAGATGAAATGGGAATTCACTACATCGTTTCCTTCACACGAGTCTTTGTTTTCGACCTTTCCGGATTTTAT